CCTAGTGTGTGGTGACTTTTACAGAAAGGTAAGCATGACGATTACAGCCGAACCACCACTGACCACTTTCATGAGCTCAGAAACACAGACCTGGATTTTGAGTTCATTAAAATATATAAATAACAACAAAATCAGCTCAATGAAATGGTTTGAACAGTGTGTGATGGAAACAGAGCCATTCCCAGCTTGCCTAGCATGCCATCACTTTACCTTGAATGCGGTGTTAAATGTAAAAGACTGTAGCTATGCTGTCATCTCAGATATAAAGATGAAGGCTTGGGTGGTTCTCTGAGGGACCAGAGTGAGATGAGGATGGGGAAGAAGAGCACATAAATGTAAAGCACACAGAATAGAAGCTGACTGACAAAAAATATTGGACTACAGTAATAATGTCAGTATTGAATAAGAAGAACAGACTAACATCCAAATATCCATGAATTGCTGCAGTGCAACAATCCCACCAATAACCAGTGACTGCACGAAGATCAGTAAAGCGCACTGAAATGAAACTGACCGACTCATCGAAGGTGGGATAGAAAGTGATTGGGCTGGGATTTGCAACAGTCCCAGTATATGTGAAGGCGACTACACTTTGAATACAAATCAAAGGTGGCATCAAGAGAGGTTGACGTCAAACAGAGTTGTAAGGAGAAAACATAACAGAATGAATTCCTCTATGATTTAGTTGAAAAGGAATTATGCTAAAATGAATGTTCATGTGAGAATGTGCCAAAGACAAATCTAATTGAAGTAGTGATGAAAAAAGGGATGAAACAATTTTCAAGTTTAAACTTTCTTTTAAAACATGTATGTGGGGAAATAGATATATATATAGAGAGAATGATAGGGTTTGGCTGGACACCAGAAGATTTCATGTAAACAACATGATTGTCTGTCTAGATAAAGGGGAGAGGTGTGTGGGCTCTTGACAGAGCATACATTAAAGCACCCATAGACATTCTTGAACGGTTCCCTGCGCCTTCTGTAAGATGAGCATTTGGAAATTCCAGCCAGTGGGATCATTCGCTGCCCAGATGGTGGATTTCCAAATTGGACTTTGGCTCTGCTCATCATCATCATTGGTGTTTTGGATTGTAATTCTGA